GGCTGAGGGAACACAGGCGGCTGAGGATTACCACTTGGCTGAGGGAACACAGGCGGCTGAGGATTCCCACTTGGCTGAGGGAACACAGGCGGCTGAGGATTACCACTGGGCTGAGGGAACACAGGCGGCTGAGGATTCCCACTTGGCTGAGGGAACACAGGCGGCTGAGGATTACCACCGGGCTGAGGGAATACAGGAGGCTGATTAGAACCCGCCAGAACGCCTGTGCCGGGCTGGGGGAAAAGAGGCTGGTTCTGAGAATACACTCCCTGAGTGACTAACAGAAAGGCAAGGAAGGACAAGAAGCTAGCGTCTTTGGGCACCATGTTTGCTATCGAAAAGCAGAACAAACTCTTATTCTCTAGGTACTCTGTTAGCTTGGTGTTAATGGACCTGGTGCGATTTTATACCGCTGGCTCTCAACAAATTGTTCTCAGCAAAATACTGCTGGGACATAGGTACGTCTTTCCTTGCCCTTGTTTCCGTGATTTTCTGTCGATTTCAAATTCTTGATCCATGTATGGTATGCAATAAAAGAGTGGGGTCAAGTGGTCCCATAATATCTCGAGTGGATCACCATCCCCACCTCTTGTGCGGCCCTGAAAATGCTGCTTCTTACGATATGGCCGAGAGTCTGGATAGATAATTTCCCTTACGTAGCATGATCTAGAGTATCAAAGCAAGGGATCGGGCTGTCGAATATTTGATTCAACAGCTTCGATCGATCGATCGATCCCCTCACCGAAGAATGCTACCAGAACCACTGTGATATTCCTTAGACTAGTGGGACCTTATACAGATACGATACATCCAAACCTGGGTCACATAGCTTGACTGGTCTCCGCTTTCTGTTTGTTATTATGATCGCCACCATGCAGGGAAATTAACTCCTAGCTTCAGTGAAGTGCTTGACTATCAAGAGCTGATTGGGAGATATTATGCAATATCCTTCCCGGTAGAAGTCTTCAGTGCCGGAGTGGAGGTCCTCATCTATCGAAAATATAGTATCCAACTAATGCATCATCTTGCATTCTCAGCAGTGAAAATCGCTGTAAGGGGTTGAGGCAATTCAGCTTCAGCTTTGTGAAACTAGTATCTCGCGCTCATAGCTCACTAACATTGATCAGGTATATATATTTGCACTTTTCCATGCATCGAACTGATTCATAATTCCCAGCTTGCTATTCAGTTACCTTATACCATTCCCAAATTATCTCTCTCTCAGTACAGTAACACCCTTGGCAGTCTTCATTGTTGCTCTCGCACTAATTGATCCATCTCTCAGGCTACCTTCGATACAAAAATGCTCGGCCTGAAGACACTTGCTTGCCTTTGCCTCGTCGGCATTGCCCAGGCTCAATTGCCATGGATCCCAATCCCACTCCCCATCCCTAACCCCGGGACAGGCTCTGGGTCTGGGTCTGGGTCTGGGTCTGGCCAACCTTCATGCCCGGCTTGTCCTCCACCTCCGGCTTGCCCTGCACCTCCGGCTTGCCCACCAGCGGCAGCTCCCGCCATCGACCCGACTATCGTTAGTCAAGCGAAGGCAGCTTGCGCCCAGAAACGTCCCGGGACCGTGCCTGTTTTTCGTGAGGATGGGCTCCCCTATGGATGTGCCCCCTACAGCTGCTACAATAAAATTGAAATAGAGTGTTAGAAAGCCCTTGCCTCCCTGAGGGCCTCGATTTCCACCCCATCGGTACCTCTCAGCACGTTGCGGAGCAGTGCTTCTGGGGCTTTCTTGAGGAGAGACGGTCTCAATGATTTTCGCAGCGAATTCCATGTAAATTAAAAGGGTTGTGTCTGTCGAACTGTTCCTGTTGCGCTGTGTTCCATGAAAATCCAACGAGAATTCCACTGCTGCGTAAATTTGTTTCACTGTAGCCCTCTTGTATCGCTCCTGGACTTCTTGGCGTCAACCCCGATGGTCTCAACTCAGAAGAAGGGGAAGATTACAATATTGCATCTATTAATTTGTTGTTCTCTTTGTATTTTTTAGTAATCGAAGTAATCTATGACCTTACGACAGTAGACAACATGTTAATCCCCAGGCTTAGGCCCCAGGAATATGACCTAAACCTACCTTGCAATAGGCAAACTTCGACTAGGTGTGCGAAGTGCGGGTCGGCGCGAAGTAGTCGATCCATCTGTTTTGGTGCCACCAACCGAACGAAACGTATCACAAACCCACTGTAGCAGGTATGGATCGACAAGATCGGCGGGCCAGAAGACCTCCAGGCTGTACTCTATGAGCTACGAAAATACTCGTGGCACAATTTGCAGCTCGATTTGGAATAGAAAAATCCCTCCAAATGTCCCTAGGTTGGTTTATATTTCTTTCTCTTCCAAGTTTGTCCCCTACCCCAGACATCGAAACACCAGTAATATACTTGTGCCAGTTCGACAATATGTTTCATTCTCTCATTTGCCTTCTTGTTGCTCTGGCCCAACGGTCACTTGCCCAGGATTATGCACTTGGGTCAACATCGTTATTTGGTTCTGATTCGACCTTCGACACCGCCATACCCGAAGATCCCACTGCCTCGATTGTTTTTGTTGAGCCGGATGTCTCATTGCGATGCCCTATCCAGCCCTTTCAGTCCTACCTGTTCAGCCAGAATCCTCCAGTCGTGTACGTGGCTTCTTTTGTCAACGACGCTGAGGCGCGTCATCTAATTCAGAAAAGGTTTGTCAATCTAATAGCTACTGGTTGGACCTTATTCCTTATGTCTTACTTATCTAGCGGACCAAACCTTGCCCCTGCCTTTGTCTATGGCTTCGGCCAAACCCAAGTGGATCAAAGCGCCAGAAAGTCCCTTACAGCCCTCCCCGAACGAGATGATGTAGTTCGCTGCCTTGAGCAACGCGCACGGAAAAGCCAGGAATGGGAGCCTGGTATGACGATCGAAGCTATTTCTGTGCAACTATATGAAGAAAATGGTTTCTTCAGACACCACTACGATGCTTTCGGGGGAACCCACAAACAGGACCGGAAAACCACGTTGAACGTATTCTTGCAAGCGAACTGCACTGGGGGTGGCACGCACTTTCCCTACTTGCCAAGACCTGACGATGAGAGGTGGTGCCAGTTTATTGACTGTAACTCGGACCTGCCAGGTGTGACTTTCAAGCCCATTAGCGGCAATGCTATCTTCTGGGAGAATATTCGACCGGATGGGACTGTGTATCCAGAGACTCTCCATGCTGGCTTGCCCATTCTGTCCGGAAGTAAGATCGGAATGAATATTTGGACCTGGACCAAGGAGCGCGGGTCCTAAATGGTTGAGGATGAAACATGTATCATCTTGGCGGTCCTGTATGTTGAAGAGCACATATTTCTATTCCCCTAGGATGGACAAATTACGCTTTGTAGTCGGAAGGTGTAGCCTCCAGCGGCCACACCTGTTGAAATTCTAGATTTCCTACCACAGAAACTTGCGTCGGCTCTTATCGGCAGAATTTCCCAGGCTCATGTGTCTGTTATGAGCGCCACATGTACTATAATGAATGTACTGGGTGTTGTGGCTGCTTGATACGTGCCTTAGTAGGACTGTTATGAGTGGCAGCATGTTCTGTCTAGTCAACTAGTATTGGTGCGTGGGCCCAGAGCTTGTTCCGAGTATCGATCCAAATTGCAATGGGTGTTAATCCCACTGGATGTTCCTGATTGAAGTGAGCGTAGTCTCGGGTTCAAGTTAACTTGTGGTATTTCTGGACAATATGAGGCTCCACGTTCTTCCACCGTAGGAAATAGTACTAAGCCCATGAACGGCTATAGATCTTTCTCCTTATATTTCTCCAGTCACTCCCCTCCATAGTGGAAAAACCACACATGGTGGTTATTTACCAGCTCAGTATATTGTAATACAATCAATGTGCACAACTATTTGATTGATATAAGCTACCTGTCCTAGATCAGTGCATCCTTCACATTGCATTAAGGGTGGGTGTAGTGAAAGTGCCGGGTTACTTATATCATGTGCTTCTGCAATGTTCCACCCCTTCCTCATGTAAGGGACACAAGATATGCAACAAATTGGCCAAAACTATGGTTTATAGGGGATTAACCAATTCCTGCTGAATATGCTTTGGACTCCGTCAACATAGCCATACGAACTTTAATCGCTGTGCTCGGTCGACCCGTTGTACTCTTTAACCATCACGGTAGTATCCTAATGACTATTTCAGTTACGTCCTTGGTCCTTGATTGCCAGGTGTTGCCCAGGCAATAAAATAATTGCTTGCCCACCATAATGCGTCCCATTAACCTCACAGCCATAATCTCTCCCCTTGCTGGCTACTAAGGCTTTAATATTCTTACTGGACTAGAGTTTGGTGCTATCCCCGCATTTCAAGTTGGTTGTATACTATGGCTTTACCAAACCCCAGGTTAGGACCTCGTTTAGCCGCACGCTTTGACAGATCCGGAAAGTGTAGATGGCGAGTAGGAGGTATACCGGATTGCACAAAGTGAACTTGGCTTCGCAGTTACGATTATGCTCATAATTTGATATTAAAGAAATTGATGCTTTACTCTTGAGAAAGTATATGAAACTAACAGATTGTTGTATCTAAGGTTCCCCCTAAACGCGGGCAATTGCTTTCCATTCCTGTTTCCCTTATACCATTGCCTGTCGCCTGCAGGAGATTCTTACCTACGTGCTGTGATTATAGGTTGGGCCTAAGTGGCAACAGAAGCACAGTCAGTTGACATCACTCATAAAGCCATGCCTTTTCTCAAGGATATGGATGATAAGATTTATCTGGGGAAGTCAGAGGCCAAATTCTGGAAGCAACCAGTCCTACCCTCCTCCCCCCTAACCTGAGGCGTCAAAACACAAAAATGTCCTGTGTTCCCTATGATATTCAATACAGTCGAGATATTTTAGGAAACTCAACGCAGAGAGGTTTCCTGCGAGCACGACGACAAGCTGACCAGAGTTTCAAATATTCTCTTCGTATTCGACGTGATCTCCTTGAACTACCCACAGAGCTACTACTTCAGATTATATTGTTCCCGCCTGTACTATCCCAGGGTATATCTGGCATTGGCCTGTAGGCCACTACTCGAAGTAGATCATATAGTTTTCTTCTTAAGCTTGCTATTGCAGGCTTCCTCTCCAGATCCGTGATGCCAAGATTTGCTCCACTTCCTATTCTCGCTCTCCGAAGGGCTTGCCGGCTACATCGTTCTGTGCTGTATGGATGGCCAGGGGCCGGCACACATTCATGCCGTGGTTGTCGTGGTGCGGAATACTCGAACCGGGCCCGTTGATTGCGCTGCGCTCGTCATGTGAGCTGGAAGGCTGTATGTATGTCTGTGAGATTCAATCGGGATGTTGTACCATTCAAGGTTCAGGAATTACTCCCGAAGATGGCGGCAATGCTCCTAGTAACGCCAATGCATGTTCATAGACACATCCGCAACCAGAGGTGCATCGTTCTCCACACGTGTCACCCGTACAATCCGCACCAGAAGTCATCTCACGCGACTCACGCATGTACGTTGTCAACAAGAAACCAAAGGCTAACGTTGCGGCATCAGACTGCAAGAGCAGCCGTCATGTATCCGTCCAAGACAAACAAGGTAGCTTGAAGGTCCGCTCCAAAGACAGTCGTCCGAGAAGCTCCCGTGCGGTGAGTAATGCTCTCCGTGAGCTGCTCAATACTGTGCACTCGCTAATGGATGAACACTACTAAGTATTCACCGATACGATCGCCTGTCTCGAAAGCTATATATGGAGCTAGACAGCACAGGAGACATTTATTGACTTCATCCAGACCTCCGAATCCTTTGGATTGGTGATAATAGCACACTATTCTGTAGTCTTGCATCAGCTGAGACAGCGCTGGTGGGTTGTATCATGGCGGAAGCGCGTTATAAATGCCATTGTGACGACCCTGGGGTCTCGATACGGTGAATGCGCGACATGAAATGAGCCCAAAGCCAAACTCAAGGCACATTTGTTAGCCTTGGTGCCGCCGATGCTGCTCCTTTCACAACTAGTGACACTGGAGTAGCTACACTCATCCGTCCACAGTATCCGAAAGTCCTTACACCATTGTGACGGCCTCGTGGGAAAAGCAGGATATGAGTATACCATTCCCATGTCGATAAGATCAGGTGGGATCGTATAATGTTAACATGATAAACTGAAGGAATCTGTTCTTGGCGCCTATATAATTGAGTGAACTTCACACCAAAGCTGGGGTGGACCAAACTGTCCTAGTATAGCACACGATGCCATCTTCCCTTGTGGTGCAACACAATCTCAGCAAACTCCTGAATAGGTGCAGTATGTGTTTGCTGTATCAACCAACCTTATATACCTTGCCCAGAATATCACGCTAGAGACAGCTGCCCAACTTCTCTCTTGCTGTCACTGTAACCCACATGTCGGTCACAGCAAAAAGGCCGTTCACATTTCTTCTACGCCATGGTTGTTCTGGGTTGACAAGAGCCCAATCAAAGTTACGCAGAGCCTCCAACACAATCAGTATGTTAGTAGTAACCATGCTCTGGGGAGAATTCATCATGTACCTCGAAAATGGTCTTGCTGATTTCAATCAGCGCAACTGTCTGACCGAGACACTTCCACCGACCGTAGCCAAAGATAAGGTCATTGACTCTCGTCATCTTCGCCAGGTGATCTTTGTCTTCGATCAGCCATCGTTCCGGCCTGAATACTTCCGCATCGTCGCCATAGGTGGCTTTGTTGAGATGCATGCCAAGAGCAGAATACCCGATCCAAGTACCGCCAGGGATTTTAACCGACTCGCCGTCAAGGATGACTTCGTCGCCTTCAGACGGTACGTCCCTTGGGAAGATGTTGACGACCGGGACAAAGACCCGTAGCCCTTCCCTAATCACTGCCTGCAGGTATGTGAGTCGCCGCAACTGAGCGTCAGGCATAATATCGCTTGAAGGTGCCTTGTCGTCTCGAACCGCGTCATCGATTTCCGCCTGCAGCTTCTTGTACACTCGCGGATTTGAAAGGAGGCAAAGTAGGATGCCCCGGATCCCCGACGCCGTGGTGTCGGATCCGGCTAGAACCTGCTCAAACGCTTCCATCCATAGCTCGTTGCCGATCAGCCCATGCCGGATAAACGAAGCAAGCATGTCGCTCCTCGCGTCGGTGGAGCTCTGTAGTCGCTTCGCCACCATCTGCCCGGTCGTGGCCATCATCTTCCCAAAGCCCGTAGAATCATTCGTGGAGGGACCGAGAAGCTTCCCAACCCACTCAATCTGCATGATCCAGTGCAGACCGGTGCCCATCAGGAAGTTCGACATCCAGAGGCCCTCTTCTCCGGATTTGATGTAGTCATTGACATCCTGATCCGCCTTCAGCATGCCAAAGCTGTTCCCCAGGCCGACCGTACTGATCACATCCAATGTCAGGTATTGGACCTTCTTCGCCAGGTCCATTGGCTTCACCCTGGCTTCGGTGGACAGGTATCCGTTCCGAATTAGATCTAGAAAGTCCCGCACGCGCAGGTCGATGTCGGCTTCTAGCGACAGATTTTCTTTTCCGGAATACTAAAATCGAATCAGCCACTGGATCGAGCCACTGTCCCGTGGAAGACAGACTCCCATTAACATTTGCTTGCGTCTCCGGTCATGCCGGTCGTTATTCGTCTCGCTGAATACATGATCCTCGCCTGGCTTGAACCGAGCAGCATGATAATACCAGTCCGACCTTTTATATGGAGACCGGACTGCGTTAATATGAGCCCATACCTCTGGCGATGAGGTGATGAGCGCATTTGGGCCTATCCGGACGATGGGGCCTACAGCATCCTATCAGATCGGGAGGCCGGCCTCAACGATCATGAAATTACCCACCATACGTGTCAGTCATTTCTTTATACCATCGTTCGCACTGCAGGCTGAGCACCGCCTGGGTGTGCTGAAAACTGGAGAAACCACAGATCAGGGGCCCCTTGAACTTTCGAAGGCGATAGTACGTTTGGACCTTTTTCACGCAGTAGAGCACGAGAAGACCACCGACAATCAACCACCGGGTTTCTAGTAACAGCTCAACTGCGCCCATCTTCAACCAATGAGTCGGATTGATTGAATTTCCATGCACTCAGGCCCGAGACAAGGTGTTTTAAAAATGCGAACGGGGGGCGACGGTCGGATCATCCTTCATATATTGGCTCTAGGAAACACTCGGGTGGGGATTCCCCGCTTATACGAACTGATCAACGCAGGGCATCTTTCCTCGACAACCACACCCGAGGCAGGACTTTCTGCAGTTCATAGCCTATTTACAGTATGGTGGGCCTCTGGAGAAACTTTGTTCGGCACGAGTATCCCCACTTCCCGCGTCATGATGATCCGTTAACTTCATCCACCTGCACCCATTGGCCTCATCGTTTATCACACTTGCCGTCGGGCACACTTGCAGCTGTCTAGCTCAATCTATTAAACGTTCACGTCAGTTGCCTATCTCAGGCAAATTCCCTCTCGCATGAGGTCAGAATTGGCTTTGTACGTATCATGAATATTGGTGAGATAGAGCCGGATGGTCGAGTTGCCAGATGGATTGCGAGGGCGTCGTGAGACGACGAGATAACGAAATACAAAAAGAGGAGAATTAGGATCATCGAGTCGTAATGTAAACTGTCGTAGCTGGCCTTCAAGTCCGCTTGAACGGTGTTTATCCTCATGGGAACAGCACATTCTTATCTGCTCGGGTAGAATCATGCAGATCGGCGGAGAGACCAAGACACGAACAACCATAGACATATTTATGTCTCCATGCATTAAAAGGGACCTAGCCGTATCCGGGCAGACCTTCATCAACTTCATAAATCGTTTTCCAAATCCACCCTGGACTAGTGGATATGTTACTTACAAGAGGGATTCCCCCTCCACCATCCACAGCAGTTCTCTTTACCGAATGCAGTAGACTCTGAAAGGGATACCCTTCTCAATTGGAATGCCTAAATCCCACCATTATCTCATACAAACCAATATAGCTCTTACATCTCACGATCCCAGGGTGCCTGCCGTCACGGTTAGCGGGCTGGAGGTGGCACTGCGGCAAGGGGAGCAGAGATCTTACCCAGTCAAACATCTCCAAAGTAACGTCAACGGTCAGCATTTCATGTATCCGCATTGCAGCCAGCGTTGTGACATTATCCAAGTTGTCCGCCGACTCGTGTTGCTGTTACAAATCCCCTGGAATTGCACATGGGGTATCCACAACACTCGCGCCCAACAGACGTAGCATCATGGCGAGGATATCGGCAGCTTTCATCGTTGCGAGCAACGGTTTCAGTGAGAATTTTCAGGGTGTGTGCGACGTCTTTCGTAATTGGGTGAGCTCACCCCGGACGATGTCATTGAGATATTGGCTGACCCCTTGACTGTTCCTCCGGCGGCAGCATACATAGCCAAACGATACGGGTGGTTTAGGTACTGCTCGGGGTCCCAGTACAGCAGAACGGTGCAGTTTACCATGATGCCGACCAGGTTTAGAGTATTCTCCTTCAGGTAGGGTCATCCGAGTTGACGGCTACGTGCGGCATCGCCATGGTGAAGACTACGAAGCATCGTCGTGGTAGATATTAGGTCAGACATGGTAAGGGTTGGTACTGTTACATGGTATCTATCGCTCTGTATTGTCATGATACAACCCAGACCAACTCCGTACCAACGGCCATGAACGAAAAGGATAAGCACTAATGCGCCTCGCTCGCCGGCTGCTTTGTCTAAAGGGCCGGGGCTGCGTTCCGGAGGAATGAAAGTGGAACCCTCTTGCGTCCCCATCTCTCTCTCTCTCTCCTCCACAATCAAGGCTTCTCATATCGCCAGACGGCCATCGTCGGGACCAGTAGAAAGACTGCACCCACAATCATCCCCACTGCACTAAACAGCTGCAACCCCAAAAATCCATCGCTTCCTCTGTGGCCTTCGATGATTCCCCCAATTGGTGCTCCGACCAGCACGCCCAGACTGGTAGCAAACCACTGCATGCCCATGCGGGTGCCAATGACCAAGGGGTCGGCGAGACAATCGGGTGAGCGATGGCCAGCGGATTGGCCGAGATCAACACCCCGGAGAATATGCCAAGAGGAACACAGAAGCCCACAAAGCTGGCAACCCAGTGGATACCCGTCCAGCCGAAGAGGAGCACAGCCGAGGCAATAACGCTGACCAGCAGGATGTGGCTTGCTCCGAGACAATAGGTCAGCAGGGACGACCCAATGCGGCCGATGGCCGAGCCAGCATTCATGATCGACACCATGTAAAAGCTTAATGTCGTGGATGTGTGCAGGGCGGTCTGGGCGAAGGTCGGCACGTAGAAGATCGGGATGAAATATGCCGTGAAGATGAAGAAATTGGCGATCCCGTAGGCATTGAAGTGCCACTCCGTCATCGCATGCCAGTGAATGATCCGGCGGGGCGGGGCCTGCCGCGTCTTGGTGGTGGCCATCAGCAATGGCACTGCGATACAGGAGCAAGCCAGTTGGATGAAGCCCATGGTCCGTACCGTCCAGGGAAATCCGATCCGGGGCTGCAGGCGGATGAAGATGATAGGGAAGACAACCCCACCTAGACGCCAGGACGGATATAGTGAGAAGCCGGGTAGGGCAAGCAAGAGAGGAACAATCGATCAGTCCAACGTACCAATACTGGCCCCGGAGGTCACCAGGCCTACCGCAAGGCCACGGCGCGTAGTGAAACAGGTGGAAACGAGCGACAGGGCAGGAACATAATTCAACCCACTGCCCAAGCCGCAGCAGATCCCCTGCATGAGAAAGAGTTGGTAATACTCGGGGGACAGGCTCAGCATCATCAACCCTAAGGTAGTCAAGAAACAACCAGCGATCATCAGATGATGCAGGTATCCCCGGTCGAACAGGGGCCCGGCAATAACCCCCTGGAACTGCTGCTCAAGAGATCGGATTGATAGTAGCTCTGGAACGCGCCAAACGCGGTCGAAAATCCCCAGGGGGTGACGAACAGAAGAAAGGAGGCAAATACGCCCACCCAGGCCGCCAGACCACCATTGGGTGGCTCAGCAGTAGCAGCAGCAGAAGGCTGTTCAGGTTGTTTGGTCGCCATTGAAGGTGGAGAAGTGAACCGAACGAAGAATTAACTAGAGAGGTGAAAGCGATTACGGAGGAATTAGATCAACAACCAGCGACATAACTATGTTGGGACGGCCATCGTGCTCTTTGTCGCTGGCCTGGGGTTAGTCATGTTCACATTAGTTGCCATCACCAGGCAACTGCTGGATTTGTACTCGTGCAGCATCAAGCTACCGAACCAAAAGCCCCGAGTCAATACGTGCGGGCTGTTAAGCTGGTGGTGAGCATGTCGGTAATGCCACCCTCTCCGATGCCCGCGCCCGATCAAGGGCTGCGCATGGTTTGAGGTATGCTTGGCTGGGAACCACTGGCCACCCAGCAGCATAGCGAATAACGAGTAATATGAGGAGAAGCATGGTATTGAAGACAGGTGTCTTTGAGATTGAACTGTCAAAGTTTTTCAAGCCAAACGGGAAAGAAACCTCGCATCCCCAAAAACGCACTGTTCCATCTATCGGGTGTCCTCCTTAGAGTGCATACATAATAATATACGGCAATCATGCCCCGGTTCATTGATCTAGGGGGTTGGTGAGGGGACAATTGCCGACGTGCCATACGCCATGCAGGAAGACCATTTCATTGCGCCTCCGTCTTAAATACGACCATATCTCCTTCGCTCAGGGCAGTGTACGGATAGATCCGACTGAACTGATGTGTACCCCGCTCATGTCTACGTCTATAGTTTCCCTTTCGATGGCTCGGCCGGAGTTCTCTGTGTATACCTGTAGTGCCAGGAAGCGTCTGCTACATCCTTCCGGATGGCGTAGTTTGCTTCTGCTTCCTCTAGCACTGCCAAATCCACAGTGGCGACGCCCATGCCTTCAGCTGAGGTGCCCAACCGAACCAGCGGACCGGCATAGGGGATGTTGATTTGGGAAAGACCACAGTAGTTTCTACCTGGAGGCCCGCCTGCATTGGCGAAGACCACCGCGCAAGTGTTTTCAAAGGTGCGCGCGGTCAGAATGCTATCCAGAAACAAGGATGGTGCTGACGGGTTTTGACGATGGCCCGCCTCAGAGGCTCCGCTGCGAGTCCACAAGGTGGGTACGATGATGATCTTGGCTCCCTGGGATACCAGTTCTCTCCAGGCTTCGGGGAAGACTAGGTCCCAGCACACGAGGAGGCCTACAGGGCCAAGAGGGGTCGAGATGACTCGGTGCGGGCAGTCGCCGGAGGAGCGAAGGTAGGCTCGCTCGGTAGGGCCCCAAAGATTCTTTTTCACGTAAGAGCCGAGGATCTCACCTGTGTTGGAGATGAAGAAGGAGACATTCTCGAGGGCTGGGGCGGGCTTGTCGGTGAGCTCTGTGGATGACGCTGATACAGGGCGCACGATGGACCCTGGTACAATGCAGATATTGCACTCCTTGGCTAGAGCCTGATAGCGATGCACATAGCTTCTCCAATCATCACACAATGACGCAAAACTCGGATCGGTGGGAACCCAGTTCGTCAAGTGGAATTCTGGCAGCACGGCCAAATGACAACGCTGGGCAGCGGCCTCGCGGATGAATTGCACCGCCCGGGCGAAGTTGTCAGCCGGTTTGAGGGGCTAGAAGCGCACGCGGTTAGACCGTTATTGGTTGTATATGGAAGTTCTCGTTCACGCAAGACATTCGAGGCATGCGTACCTTGACATATAGCTGGATGACAGCGATCTTGCAGAACGGCGGCATGATGGCCGCGGGGAAAGGGATGACAACGCCGGGGATCAGATCACAATGGAATGGGAAAAGTGGTGATAGGCGTCGTTTTATGTCAGACTCCTGGCCTGTGCCGTATATGGGCTGCCTGGGTTGGAACACGTTCACCCTGCAGTCGGAGTGGCCGAGGAATCAACCGCCCCGAGCGCCCATGCGAGACTGTACCGTACTGTCTTGTCGACCTGTCCCGTCAGGTATTATGACGCGACGGTAAATACCAATGGCGGTATGGAAAGACGATATCCGTGGCGATGTTCATTCTCGCGGGTACGCAGTGGCTGTAATCTCTTGGATCCATCGCCATGGCGTCGAAAGAGTAGACTTGTTAATTGTATGTGTATGTGTATATGACTCCCACAGATAACATACGGCCTGAGGCAGAAAGTGTCTGAGCGCCTTCGCGATCGGAGATCGGGAAAGATATCAAGCCGACCCCGAAGCATCGCTCTGCTTGACCTCACCTCGCCTATTACTTGTCCCCTCACTCACCCAGGGAATCGCCGCTGTTGTGTTTTCATGGTGGATACCTGCTTCTCGTGTGGATCTCTCCACAGTGCAGTGCGATGGAGCCAACGAGAGTCCTGACCGAGCCGGTGGATTCTCTAACGCCGGGGCCTCGGCTAGGTATGCTACACGATGAGACTAAGATTAGGTGACATGGGCAATCCGAACTCCTTCAATTCTCCTGCAATTCATTTAACTTCTTCACGCTGAAAGGTCTGCGCTCAAGTAGCGACCGAGAAAGATATAGCGCCCAACCAGAAAAGTTCGTGGCTTAAGAAATTATCGTGCATTGATCCAGACCACCACCATTCCAGTCAGAATGGGCTCCAACGAAGAGTCCAGTTGGCAACAGCGAGTCGAGCGGAAACGACAGGCATGCGCCAACAAAATCCCTGCCGAATGGTGTATTCCAGACGCAGTCATGGCTTCCCTGGACGCTCCTCTCGCAGACCATAAAAACAACTTGATCCAGAAAAACATTATCCGTGAATCTGGCATCATGACCGCGCACGAGCTGCACATCACGGAAGAGTACACGGTCCTGGAGTTGTTAGCGGCATTAGCCAGCGGAAGCCTAAGCTCGGTGGAAGTTACTACGGCGTACTGCAAGCGGGCTGCCATCGCACAGCAACTCGTATATACCCTGGTTTCCTTGGTTGTAGGTCTGAACTGCTAATCATCGTAGGTTGCCTGTCTTACAGAGACAATGTTTGCCGAGGCCTATGAGCGAGCGCAGTATCTCGACCAACTTCGCTCTCAAGGGCAGGTGGTCGGTCCCCTTCACGGTCTCCCCGTGAGTATCAAGGATAGCTTTCACTATAAAGGAACAGAGGCCACGATCGGCATGGTTTCGTTCCTAGGTGAGGTTTCTACCGGGAATTCACCGCTTGTGGAGATTCTCTTGAAACTCGGGGCGGTCATCTATGTGAAGACGAACGTGCCGCAGACTATGATGGTGAGATCGCTGAACCCAATGGTGGGATCAAGGCTGAGACTTGTAGGCGCTCGACTCGCAGAATAATGTTTTCGGGCGTACCTTGAATCCCTGGAATACCACTCTGACGCCTGGAGGATCGAGTGGTGGCGAGGGCGCTTTGGTCGCGCTGCGAGGATCACCTTTGGGAGTCGGCACTGATGTCGGCGGTAGGTCTACCCCAGCCACCAAACCGGACTTACCTTCGTTGATCGGTCTTTAGGCTCCATTCGCGTTCCTGCTCTTTGTTGCGGGACTTATGGCTTCCGACCCAGTGCATCAAGAGTCCCAAACGCAGGCACTCGGGCCTGCTCAACGAGTGGAATGCGCTTTATCCTCTCGTGTGCTGGACCTCTGTCCCTGGACCTTGAAGGTCTTGAAGTCTTCTTTCGCTCGGTTTTCGATATCCAGCCTAGTCTATATGACTCCACTGTCATCGATGTACCCTGGCGAATGGTTACGGTGAAACCTAAATTGAGAATTGGTCTTGTCCCGGAGCATCCAGTGTTTCCGCTACATCCCCCAGTCAAACGGATACTGGCAAAAGCGAAACAGCGCCTGGAAGAACACGGTCATGAAATAATTCTTCTCAGTCACGAAGAGTGCCGCATCAAGGAACTTAATGAAGTTGCGTTGGGTATCTTCGGGCTGGATCAGGGCGCCCTCAGTCATGTCATCTCTGCTGGCGAGCCCGTGGTTCCAGCATTACAACACATTGGCGCCCAGATTGCAAAAGTGAAGCAATTCCATGAATCATCCCTACCGGATATGAGTTCGATGGATCGTTTAGCCACGCTGGCCGCTCTGAACACTCGTCGAGCCGAACTCAAGGAGGACTATCGAAACATGTGGACCAAACATAATCTGGATATTTGCCTTGCACCACCGGCGCAAAACACTGCTGTAGCCCATGACTCCTTTGGTCCTGCACCCTACACCATCTTCTTGAACTGTCTTGATGTATGCTGTCTTCACTCGGTTTTTGTTTTGCCAGCTGACATTTGATAAGTATCCGGCGTGTGTCATTCCCTTTGGACAGGTCAACGAATTGGATGCTACAGAGCCCTTCCAGGTGGGCGACGATCAAATCGCACCAGAATGTAAGTGTCGAGCGATTGATTCTGACCTGACGACTAATATCTTTAGATGACTATCAATCAGTCGAAGGGGCCCCATGTGGAATTCAACTTTTTACCACCACAATGCGGGACGAGGAGTGTCTACAGATGTCGAAGCTGATCGATCGGTGTCTGAGGGCGTAAATCGGACGTGGCATGACTTGCCGAACGCTCTGGACTGGCAGAATAGTTGGATGTAGCAAGATAGAGATGGTACGATTTGAATATATATCCTGCAACAATCAGCTCAGTACACGTAGAATCATCTCTATTCAACTAAAGTTAGACGGGAATCGGACACAGAATGTACAATCCTTGTCTGATTGTCGTAAAAAAGGAAACGAAATGAAAAGAAAAAAGAATAGAACTATATGAACGCGATAGGACAGTATGTCAAAGTGAACTGGTGTGGACGTGCCAAGCCCGAGTTTGTGAACGCCTCCAACATGATCTCTTCCCGACACTGGAATCTCCTCATCTACACCCACACCAACCAAGAAAGACTGCTTTAGAATCCCTCTCCATGCGCCCATCCGCTTGTGATCGATGCCACACAGTCAGGTCGCGCTGCCTGGCGGGGCCAGGAGAGACATGCTATCGTTGCTATCGCTTGCATTACCCGTGCACATACTCGCGGCGACGCCAGCGACCAGGGCGAAAGCCACGCGTTGCCTCGGTCGCAAAATCAGCGTCAATGACAGGTCGCAGTGACATCGATCCCACTTCAAACCTCTCTGTTGTGGCCACACATGGAGATGGGAATCATGAGATGACGAGACCAAGTGCCCCAAGAATCGAGCTTCTGAGTTTGCTGCGCTGGGAAAGTACAGTCTCTCGTGTATCTGAGTATACGGCGGTCGAGATCTGTAAGTTCTTCTCGCTTGGAGAGTCGCTAAGCCGTGAGATGAGCCAAACGATTCGCGCCCGCATCAGGGTGGCCCCGATGCTACTGCTTGATCCTTACGCGGCTGTAACCCGCGTCCTTCTGCGCTCGACGACAAACCAGGCTGCCTGTAGCGACAGCGACTGGTCTCGCTGTGCATCGGCATTACAGACATTGCGTAACGCCCAAATTACCAGCCCCGAGCATGCGGGCAACCTGTTATCCTTGGGGTTGAGTTTGGTGACATTCCACCGTCTCATCTCAAGCATTTCGGGGAGCACCATTTGCCGATTCACACTCTCACTGGTACGCCCGCTCTATTATTCCCAACACTTACCGGAATCGGACATGGGAGAATTGCTCTGTCTGGTCTTCCTTGATGTCACGGAGTCTCTTTTTCGAGCGAGGATCCCCGTTATCGAGTATCGTGTGCGTGATCCATACCTTGTCAACCACCATGCGGGCCTGTGTGGATCTCTCCTACCCCTTCTCTATCGTGTTTGTCTTCTAAGGGTCGCCATCAGGAAGGGATCTGACGTACCTATCCCTCCTGATCAGTTCGATACCCTTCGTGCGGAGATCATTGCATGGGCTCCCAGTGTGTCAGTTACGACCATTGAGCGCTTCTCGGAGCAGGAGATGGTACTCCTTCTTACGCAGGCTAGTCTCCATCGCAATGCGACGCTTCTTATCTTGCACAGGCTACGATTCCCCTTTGGAGAGCGAGATGATGATGCCGAGCTCCTTTCCCGCTCAATCATAAGGGAGATGCAGCATTGTCTAGCGATGGCGAAACAATATCCTCCAAATATATCATTGGTCCTACTTCTGGCTGGAGCTGAGATTCAGGGCTCTTTTGGCCGGGAAAACATCCTGTCGTTATTGCAGAACATCAACGGCGCAAGCTTCTACCCCTTCGTGGCGAATCTTCGGCAATTCCTAACCCGTGTCTGGACCAGCCGAGACGAAGGAACCGTGCAGTATCTGTTCGACCTATTTGATACGGATGATAACCTCAGTATCCCTCTGTGATTGCCACGATAAGATCGTCTTCTCATTAGGTCAACATTTGATATCGATGTATTAAACGCGTATCGGTATGTATGGGCAGCCCGAAAAGGGTGTAACTTACCAATCCACCGGCTGGTTGCGGCCTGTCATTGGTGCATGGCAGCGTCATCGATCGTACCAACCCGTATGTCTTAACACCCCCGCTCTAGAAGACACGAAAAGAGGGTTCAACTCGCCGGACAATTCAGAGCCCTGAGGTAAGTATAAAGCATTGACTATGCCCGGCTCCTCAACCCATGGTGTATCCAACTGTCAGTTTTACTCTGCCCACAATGTCGAGTCCAGACTTCAATGATGTGTTTCCGCCAGGGACAATCAAACTTGAAGAACGTATGTGGCCCTTAGAAGCAGGGCCTAGGTGTAAAGCTTCACACTCACTATTTCAGGGCAAGGACTGGTGTCGGAATTCAAACTGAGTCCCACTCCTTCAGATGATCCTGATGACCCTTTGGTGCGTAAAACCCTGCTCCATGCTTCTGCCGCTAACGAAAGGTGCAGAACTGGTCCCCGTTCAGGAAGGCTGTCAACTTTGGGCTCACTTGCTCATATGTTCTCTTCACCTTTGTCCTCGTGGACATCAATAGCTTGGCCTATCGAGGCTACATGTCCGAGCTGGGTTTGACCTACGCGACCTTCAACCAGGCGAGTGGGTCGAATTTCGCTGGACTCGCCATTGGATGTCTCCTGTTTATCCCCTGCGTTCACAAGTTTGGCCGTCGTCCCATTTACTTGCTCAGTGCAATTGTGCAGCTTGTTTGTGCTATCTGGTGGGCAAACTTTCACAAGGCCGGGGAACTCATCGGTGTCAGTCTGCTGGCTGGACTCGCTGGCTCCATCAGCGAGGCCGTGGTCATGATCACTATTGTTGACCTCTTCTTTGTCCATCAACATGCTCGTATGAATGGCATCTTTCTGTTTATGCAGAGCCTGGGGTCCACAGGGGGTCCGATTGCTGCTGGGTATATTATTGAGTCGATGGGCTGGCGATGGATGTGGTGGATGATCTGCATCTTCCTTGCCGTCAACTTAATCCTCGTACTGCTCTTCTTCGAGGAGTCAAAATACATCCCCCTCGTGGTCGGTCATTCCGAGTCCACTGATAATAACCAAGAGGGTGCACCGAAATATGATGATGACCAGAAGACTGGGGAACCGCGTACCCTCCGAGTAACTACTCGTTCAACGGCAGATACCCGTCGCAGACGCAAGTCGATTCGACAACGCCTGGCCTTCGTCACCCGGACGGACATACCAGTAGCCCAGCACTTCCACCAGCCGCTGCTCATTCTCTTCTCCTTCCCCGCTGTCGCCTACACGGCCATCACATACGGCACGATCCTGGCCTGGTTTTCGGCCAATGCTTCGTCAGGCTCTTACTTCCTTTTGGACGAACCTTATCAATTCAGCCCATCTGCAATTGGCCTATTCCACCTAGGGGGGTTTTTGGGCACCTTCATCGCGACGCTGATCGTTCCAGCTCTGAACGACAGGCTCATTGTCCAAGCGGCCAAGCAGAATGGTGGAATCTTCGAGCCAGAAATGCGTCTTTGGATGAGCATTCCAGGGGCTCTTTTGAACTGCGCCGGCTTGCTAATTTATGGTATTGGACTAGGAAAAGTAACATACTTGTCTCCTCTACCACAACCTATCTCCTCTTGGAAGGCTAACAATCAGCATAGGGTCTGCATTGGGCTCTGCTCGCCGTGGGTCAAGGGATATACGGTTTCGGGTTCATTACCACTGCCGATGTGGCCCTAACATATCTTACTGACTGCTATCCTGATGTGAGTCCACCACGAACATATAAGTACATAGAACCGTGCGGCTCAAAAACTGTGTAGATACTTGGTGATGCGTTGATTGCTATTGTTTTCATCCGCAATGGGTTTGCAATGGTGGTTCGCTTTGCCTTCACCCCTTGGATCACCGGTATGGGAATCGAGAATACATTCATTCTCATCAGCATGCTGGCCTTGGTCACCGTGACATTGCCGATTCTCTTGATGGTCTATGGGAAGAGAGCCCGGGCAAGCACGGCCGAGAAGTACCGAAAATATGCCGCGCGGCAGCCAGTTCATCGGCAGAAATAAGGCTGTTATCAAGGCGTATTTTGACCCCACATGTACGCAAGCTGAGGCGTAATCCAATTCCTAGATCAATTCCGGGATGAGGTCAAAAATAGCACACGGAGGGATGAAGCAGACTCTAGTTTACTTTACCATACCAGAATGATCTCAGTCTCTACTGGTGTTTTACTTCGTGGGACATTCACGTAGAAATCCCCATGGCGCTTGGAAAGGCTCCAAGGCTCTTCCAACTAAGCGATAGGATTCTGTTCACACTAAATCCCCCGCACCGACACCAACTCCACCACCGTCCCTGACGAGCGCACCTTGGTAACCACGAATCCTACCCTCATGGTCGGAATCCCAGGAAGAAGCAAAGGTTGCAAAACCTGTCGGAAACGACGCGTCAAATGCGGTTGGATTCCCCCTGCCAGGCGTGACAGGATCTGCCACTAACGACATCCAAAGATGAGGCCAAGCCGCTCTGCGATCGGTGCACCAAAGGAGGCTACCGATGCGATGGCTACGTCGCGTTTGCTGAATTTCACGACGAGACCAAGCGATTCCCCCAGAATTGGCCCAAGGCTGAGGCCTCCCTGGCCCGGTCGAGATTGATCCATGAAGAGAAGAGCAGATCCCCATGGATCATTACCCCGACCAGGGACGAAGACAATATCTTCACCACACATCTCGTGCACAAGATATTCAACCAACATGACGCCGAAGCAATTCACCTGGCGTCCACCATCTCGTTCCACCTGAGCCAACCAGACGTAAACACGGCGAGCGACAAAGCTCTAGTCCTATCCAAAACATCGCTCCGCGCGCTCTCCACAGCGTATTTTGGCCAAGTGCACAACCACCCTGATCTCCTCCACAGGGGATCAAGATGGTATTCCGACGCGTTGAAAGAGTTGCAACTGCAACTCTACCATCCGGAACATGCTCTCCGCGAAGACTTGCTCGTGGTGATTATCTATCTCGCCATGTATGAGTCCATTGCGTTTACCGTCCCCAATGCCTGGATGCAGCATTACAAGGGCCTGGCGCGATTGACTGCCTTCCGCGGGCCCGGGAGGCATACGCATGGGGTGGGGTTTGCGTTGTACCCAACGCTGAGGCAGAATATTGTAGGTTGTCCATAGATTCAGTGGTCTTGGAATGACTGACGGGTAGATAGGCGATAGGGCATATTGCGAGTCGCAAACGATGTTTTCTGGAAGAGCCACAATGGAAGACCATTCCGTGGGCTGAGAAGCCAGAGTCCAAGACATTGATAGATTGTCTCCATGATATCATGTGCGATGCGCCCGGCCTGCTGGAGGCTGTCGATGCGTTCCTGGTGGGAGGGGATGAGACGGCAAGAATCGGACTGTGTCGGAAAGCTCTGTCCATGCTGGAGGAGTTGTACGTCTGGCGATGGAAATGGGAGGAGACATTTCCTGGCGCATCTTATCTTGTTTCTGCGGATCGGAACGTGCAAGGATCTCCGCTGCCATCGACATCTGCGCCTCGCCCATTCGAAACAGTCCTCTGGTTTCATGATTTCTCCCGCGCACAAGAGCTGTGTATGTATGACTCCACGCTGCTCTTGGTGCTGAAGATGTACCAGTTTCTGGCTTGCCATCCAGAGCCGACTGGGAAAGAAAGTACCAGTGATCCTCTACTTCCAGCCCAAGGGACGCGACGGGATATTGCGATTGAGATCCTCCGGATGGTCGATTATCATCTCGACTGTCTCCAGGGCAGTGTGGGGGCATTGATGCTCATTTTCCCATTGAACGTGGCACGACGGAATTTAGAGTCGGATTTTGAGATTGCTTGGTTAGATCAAGCCATGGCACACATTGCGGACACACATGGGTTTGAGATGGGTCGGGCTCATAATGTACAGTATAAAACTGAATGAGTCTCTTCAGTTCTCGGGGTAGCAGGCTCTGGTCCTGCAATACGCTACGTACGAATAGAGCAGAGACTGAACTTTCGAAATCAAAGCATCTATGGCGCCGCGAGCGCATGGGATCTGCGATTGACATTCACACCTCCACCCGATGCCCTGCCCGTATCTTGTCCTTGGAGGAGGTTACATCGCCAAGCCTTCAATACGCTTCGGCAATCGATGATGTCTTGAGTGAAATAGTACAGATTTATGGAAAATATCATGGAGATTGACCGGGGCTGGCCATCTTGACAGGGTTACCACGGACGTAAATGAATCATTGTAGCAGTTAGAGGTGCAGAAACTAGGGATTATCTACTAGATGCCATTCCACTCACCGAAACACCCTTCGCAGTAAATGAGATACAGCATTAAGCACCTCCAGGTCGAAACTCGCAGAGACTTTATGAAATCTAGGGAATGAGGCTGGGGCTCAGGAGGAAGCGTCTTTATCGCCGTTCACTAGATTTCCTCCACCGCGGTCGCTTCGTTGGCAGCGTTGGATGTGCCCGCACGACTATGTTCACCCTGCTTTCTTCTCGTCGGCCCCCGGATTCACATCGTCGGACACTCAGGCCACGCATAATCCGTCAAACACGAAGCACGGCATCATAATTCTCCTCACCCAAGAGATTCCAGCCGGACGGTGGAGTGCTCAAGGAAGCCACCTGCAGCGACCCGGCGCATTCCGCAGCAGATCGAGGCGTTCCCGAGGCTCTCCACAACAAAGCAGTGCTGCACAAAAGAATTGGAGTCGATAACGTCATTCATTAAAATCATCTCTTCTATCACCATGGCCCGGCAGCCCTTGAATACATTGTTGCCCCCATGTGCGTGGTCATCTATGAAATGCAATGTAGATCCGTACAATCCTGTAGTGTCACCAAATTTGCTCGCGAAAGGCGACCGATATCATTGTCGTGACCCTGCATTTGCTGTACGAGAAACGCTCGATCCATCACTCTATTTCACTTCCGCATAGACGTCCAACGCATCATGCAAGCGCCCAAACAGACCCCCATGCCAACTGGCCACCTCCTCCCATTCACTGTCCGGGAGGGTGACGTGCATCATCCGCAGCCAGGCACCGACGATCAAGTCTGCATAGCTCGCCCGGGTGCCGAGCAGAAATGGCCCACTGGTGTCCCTCGAGAATATCGGAACCAGCCCCCCTAGCATATCCCGGAACGAATCCTTGATCTTCTCTCGCGCCTCGCCAACCAACAACAAGTCCTCCCAGCAGGTCACCCCCGCGCGCCGGACAAATTCCTCCTTACTGGCCTCGGCGGTATTGGGATCGAACGGAAAGCCCTGGAGTCCGAGCTGTACATGTGCCGTGAAAGCCGCGTCGATGTTTATGTTGAACTTGGCGTATTCCGGGAATTCAGTGTCGTCACACTCCGATAGCGGGATCAGGATCGCAGGATGGGTGAAGGCATAGTCGATCTTCTGAGGGGGAAAGAGGTCGCCGGCGCCGGAGTCCGGATAGGTCTTCTGGAGGTACACGGCGATATCGAAGGAGTCGCCAACCAACGACTTTGTGGCGGGATCCTCGAGGATCGGCAGCGTGAAGAAGTCGGTCCCATCGGCAAATTTGCGACAGGCGGGTACTTTCAGACCACTGCGGACTTTGGTAATGTCGGGCATTGGCACCCATGTGGTGGCATACGGGCGACTCTTGAAGTTCAGGGCCAGACGCGCTTTCCAGGGGTTTGGCGCGAAGCAGGTTTTCTCCACGGGGGGACGCGGGGCAATGTCATAGAAGACGATCGGATCGGAGGTCGTCGGCATGGTGAATGATGTGTTCTCGGATCGGCTGGATATGGTGTCTTTGCAGAGGAAAATGGCGTTGTGGTCAGAGGTTCGTTCCCAGCTGGACGTGGGGCAGATACGAAGGTGACTTTGAGGTGGGCGGTTTTATTTACGGAAGATGCCGACGGCCTGCGCCACATCGTCTCCACTGCTTCTACACCAATTGATGTCATGGATCTGAGATCCTCAATATCTCTTCGGTGGAGGAACGACAGACCGGTGATCTTTTCGATAGACTTGCCCAGGATGACTTGAATAGTAGGGGTTGCAACCATTAAATTGACACGCGATGGGTTCGTCTAGTTCAGAATGCAATGGCCCACTCATGTACTCTAGAGCAAGCCTTGCCTGGCTTCATGCCTAGCATGGTTCCATCTTCACCGAAACTCCTGCGTCACCTTCTCGGCCCATGCCTCGAATTGCTGTGCATACCCCCCGGCCATCGCCTCCAGTAGATCCGCCCTCGGATTCGGATGCCACTGTCCAAAAGGAATCACATACCGCCCCCCGTCACCCACCGTAATATCCTCACTACAGCCAGCCCACAGTAAGGTATGCGCTCCATCCTCCACAGTCGCGAAGAAGGGCATGGTCAACCAGATCGCGATCTGTGGTGCATTATCATAGATGCCCGTGCGGACGGTGGCCGGGTTCGCGGTGATGCTCACGACACGCTTCGCCGAAGCCAGACTGTCACTTGCCCCCACCGACGCCGAGGTGAATCGCTTTGCAAAGCGATCGGCAAGGAACCAGTTGCCGGTTTTGCTGATGGTGTAATTTCGAATCGCATCCTCACTAGGATTCTCAAGTTCCTCGGGCGGAACTCCTTCCGACGGTGCCGAGGTGTCGACAAGCAAGCTGCTGGACCAAATCACCCGCACACTGTTGGGTACGGTGTCTGCTGCGGCTGCAGTACAGACTAAAATATCCGACAGCAGCGAGGCCAGCAAATATGGGGCCACACAATTGATGCCCATGTGCGGCTCCAGTCCCTGGGCGGTGCGCTGGGACAGTGGCACGCAAGCAACCCCAGCGTTGTTGTGGAGCACGTCGAGGCGTGATTCCTGCGATAGAAAGACAGTGACAAAGGGTTGGATGGTACGGAGGTCGGAGAGATCGATGGCAAGGAACTTGATCACCCCAGGAGCTTGCGAAGTGCTGGTAGTGGTGATGGCTTGAATGGCCGCATGCGCTTTGGTCTCATTGCGGGCTGCCATGTAAACCGTGGCTCCAGCGTCATAGTAAATCCGTGTGAGCGCCAGGCCAATACCTGCAGTGCTACCGGTGATGATCACCACGCGGCCCACTTGGGACGGAAGAGTGGCTGAAGTCAGAGCAGCCTGAGAAGGGAAAATCTGTGGCCAGATTCGTTTGCAATACTCCATGATGGTGAATATATATTGGGAGTGGGCACAAGATTCACCAAGGTCCAGAATGAGAGCTGGAGAGAGCGAGAGAGCGAGAGAAAGAAAGATTTTCTTTGTTTGAACTGGTTGGGGTGGACTTGGCCGCTATTTAATCGACCTGGACAATGCTAATCCCTGCCTGACCCTAGTCTAGTGGATGGTATATCCCCTGGTGCTATCAACCATGGAGGCCTTGTCATATTCCCGCGGTCGGCTCGTAATCATCTCACCAAGAACGCTCTGGGTCTTTGCGCGGATTCACGTCTAACCTGCGAGTGGTCACTTGTACCTCCCACACATCCATCCCATAGCCTGATAATGACCTGGCTGACTCCGTACACTGTGTCAGGTCTAGTACGTCACTGCATGATCGACGCCCATAGGATACTATGAAACAAGACTTCGTTGGACGGAATCCAGGGGTCCAGGTCAAATCGTTTGGTGATCGAATTATGCTCAATGACATATCAAACATTGTCAATCAATCTAACCTCGACAGCAGCGGCGGGAAGAGTTCAATTTCCCTGTGCAGCTATTTGGCACCTAACGTGCCAGACCCGAATACAGTTGACTCGACACGTGGCAATTCAGCCTTGCAACTATTACCTAAATTCAAGACCCGCCCACATGTGTTCAACTACCTAGCACAGCCGCAACTTCATCAGTTGTTGATAAGTGGTGAACGCCTTAGAACCTTGCGTCGCGTCGTGACATCAAAAGGTACAATGTCTCAGAAGTTCCTTTTGCAGCTAGATTAATCAGTTGGCCCAGACCACGCAGGTAGTCCCCGACATGACAATCATAGAGAGATACACGAACGAGTTTTACCGGATCGTCGTGGCGGGACCGCCCAGACAGGCCGACTCTTATGGCATAGCCTCACTGCTCTCCTTGAAATTTATCTTATACATGGCAACTGGCATGCCCTCCATATACCTTTGCCATACCTTCGCTGGTCCGAAACAAAGTCCAGGCCAGCAAGCCTAGATAGCATGGTCATCAACAATCTTGGGGATCCAACTCACCGGGAAGCGTGACTTATTGTATTGTCCCAGTCATAGTGCAGCACACGCCCCTGTCCCTTATGCATAAAGTGATGAATTTGGAGTCACTCCGCCCAGCCACTCTTGTTCTGATCAAGTATAAGGTTCTGGCCTCCCAGAGGCCGCGCCGCATTGAGACCACAATTGGCAAGATGTTGAATCACACTACGATGGAATGCGGAACGTGCAACACAAGGGATACAACTGAGTGAAGACGGAGCGTGATGTCCCTACTGCTACCGGCGGAGAGCTTCTCTCTATCCTGAATCCACAAGTCCTGTGGGATCTAATGGCATGGGAAAATCAGGTGTGAGAACTGGCCAGGATGGACACAGCTAACATACAAATGCGCAGTTATCGCCAGCCACAGACTATGGAAATGTCTGGTCAAATCGGACTAACTACCGTAAGTAGAATTAGAACTCGGTTGGCGCATCAGTCACCAGCCAAGCTAATAAACCTCTGCACGATACCTCAAGAATTCCTATGCTCGGTCGAATTGAGGGGAATATGTCAGTCCTTTTCGTCCAGAACCAATGTCGGCAAACAACTTTGCAAGAGCATCTCCTAACCGATGGGCATTTCCCACCCCCTTAACATGCTATTAGCGTGCCTTCTCCAAGCACCATTTTACCAACCCGGACTCTAGTTCTTGATCATATACCGAGACGCAGATCCCACGGAGCCCAATGCTTGTATGAGTGTCAGGTCCACGACAGCTCTATAGCCTCGTCGGTCAGGCCCATAGTAAGGTGCGATCAAGGATAGCGAGGGCTACCCTCCCAGACTCCAGGGCTATGCAAGCGGCATTCGATGAACGTTGCAGTATGGCCGATAATGCTCTTAGAGTAACTATTTCAAGTCCGGCCTTCTCAGACTAGTATGCCCCTAGTTTGTAGCTCTTGACACTCGCGTGCTCTGGAAGGCCAGACGGAGAACAGGCCATGACTCCAGCTTGGTCAGAACATGAACTCCTCCGTAGAACGGTTCGATTTCAGAATCTCAATTGGTACGAAGGGTATTTGGGGGTATTTATCTTGTTATGCTAAGTGAACGAGGCCTTCAGAAGCACGGTAAGCCATTATATCCACTTCACCATAGTTTTAAGTTAGGTTGTACATATGCCGATGCCCTAAATAGGTGTTGAACGTCCTTAACCTTTGCGTATACTTCGTTGATTAATTGTATTAGACAATTATATCAAGAAAAAGCCGAAACGGAAATGAAAGAACAAAAGGGTTTCAGAAAATAAATGCCTATCATTCTGACTCGTGGCTTCTCTGTGCCAAACTCAAACTCCGCCATAAAATATGTATTTGGACGATATATTGTTGGGATGCCAGAGCCACTATCCTATTGATATTCAACTAGCTGTGGTGTTTGTATCCTCTAAACAAAGAGGAAATGCCAGGAATGACAGCAAAAATAACAGATGGTCTTCGGCAGGATTTCGATACGAGATGGCCTCCTGGGAAAGCCTATCCGCTTCTTATTTCTGACGGCCTTCCTTACGTTACAGTATACAAGGAGAAGCAAGATTACTGGGATGCTATATTGCAGAGGGCCGATTCCCACAACCCTCATTCCGATGGAAATGCGCCAGAAAGTCCTGCTATATTCTAACCTTCCTCGACCTTGAGACATTGGCTCTGTTGCCGCTCTTAATGAACCCGAGCGCACTTGAATCGAAAAGTCTTTGCATAGGAAGGAACACGATGTTGAGCTGCTCAAGTGGATCTCAATCTCGGGAAGGGACTCGCAATGCCTACCGTTTCTGTACAGCTCATGTCGATCACCACGGAGCAATAAATAACCCGGAGTGGACCGACTGCCCATTGCGGATCCCTAGTTATGTTTTGCTGGATTTGATGGAGCCATCTCAGGGCAATTGCTTGATTATTTATCATCTGACGCAATACCCTTATTGCCTTCGAGGGTGGGAAGATGGGAACCAGAATGAATATCACATGCATGGCTTACTATGAAATGCCCTAGTCGAATTACTTCTGTGGATCCTGCTACTTTGTATATATACGTTGACGACCATGCTTCCTAATGCCTTCCACAAACCACCTCCCAAAGCAAAGCCATGGCTGAGAAACCATCCTATCTTACCACCAAAGCTGGAAAATATGCCCTCGGGGCAAATCGTGGACCTCTGGTCAAAGAGGATATAGTTGAATCCCAGATCGCACATGTGGAGTTGGCGGATAGCAGCTCGCTAAAGGGCAGAGGAAAGGTGCGCCGGCACTGGACCCGGTTTTGGTGCTGTTATTTGGTCAGTGCCATTATTTTCCTGGCTATTTTTCTCCCACTGTTGTACGTCTCTCAGCCATATCTCCAGCCCTCAACTGATAGCTGATACATCCAGTTTCACCGTCATCATCCAAGCAATTTCCCAGCGAGTGATTGACAATGCATCGCTCGTCCTAGTGGAAGCTAAGATCATGCAACCCCGACCAGAGTCTGTTATGCTCAGTATCCAAACCGCACTCAAGCTTCCCGTTAACGTCCCCGTACGCCTTGACCCAAATGTTCTCCACCTATTCAATAACGATGAACCGGGAAATAGCACGTATTTGAAAGTATACAACGATGCTATAGAAATCCAGGGAGCCGCAAGTATTGGGGTTCAGAACCAGCCAAGTCCAGTGAACCCCGAGCCATGGAAACACTACGTTCGCAGCGTGGTCTTCGAGCCACATGCTCCGTTATCTGCGTTTGGAAACACCAACATATACTTGGGAAGGCTGAAGAGTCATATTTCCTTGAAGAAGGACCTCCCTCAAAACAGTAAGTGTTAATCCTGGAGATAGAAAGAGGAAAATGGGACATCATGTCAATATGAGCTAATAATGTAGCTCTCAATTCTTTCGCTGGATTTTCGATCGACCACCCGAAAATGCTTTTCCCGCCACGAGACGACGGGGTGAATCTAGTTGCAAATGCGATATTGCCAAATCCATCGGTCATGACCATAGAGATTGTATGTATCGACTACTCTACGCTGTCGAATAGAGGCTGACCAAGAAATAGGGTAATATAACCATGGACTTGAAAAGCAAAGATCTGATAGTAGGGAATGCGACTATCAACAACTTGACGTTACGACCCGGAAACCACTCGACACCACTCGAGGGGGTGGTAGATATGCACACAATCATAGAGAATCTTCTGCCTCTCGTGCAGGCGCAAGGAAGCTCTTTGCGGAATGGGTATCTCAGCCTCGATGCTGTCACACGAGAAGTGGAATACGATGGCGTCGTGATCCCATATTACACCGAAGCCATGCGTGATTTGGTCCTGTCGGCGAAGGTGCCAGTCAATGATCTAGTGATCAACTCAATACAAGGGATACTTCACAATAACAGTTCCGATCTCCAATCTATACTCTCTGATACTGGGGATCGGAATGTGACGAAATGAGACATACATTCGTATTCAGTTTGATTGATGATATGAGACCACGTGAGACCCGATTTCAGATAGTGTTAATAGGATAATATATGATAATCTTCTATGGTATTGTACCGGAAACCTTGATCGATTTAATCTCGCTCCTTTCATGATATGAAAGCTAAATATTCAAGTGGGTGTCCACTAGGTTCATGATCTACTACTAAGTAGGATGGTTACTACCATACGTTTATATATCTAGCCAGAAAGTATGCCGCTAAGATAACTTGTAGGAATAAAGGTACATGGGGGGTCAAAAGTCTGACTACACTAGCGTGTTTCCGCCAACGCGTTAAAAAATTGTACTTTCTTCAATTATCTACTATACTATTATTATGAAATCTTTTAGAATTGATATTAATAGAAATAGAAAATTAAATTAAGAGTTTTCTATTAAAACGCGCGCGGTAATTATATTTAATTTAAAAAATAATATATTATTTATTTAATTTATAAAGTAATTTAATATCTATTACTTTACTATTTATTTAATTAAAAAATATTTTTAATACTATTATATCTTAAAAAGCAAGCCTAGAAAAAGTAGATTTTAAAAGTTTATCTTTATTAAAAAGCGCTATATATATCTATTTACTTACCAGAGGTTTAAAATAAACTATAAAATTTTAATTACTAGTAGTAGTTTTTTAATCTCTTAATCTACTATTAAGCGCGTACTTAGGATTTTTTATTTAAAAAAATAGAAAATTAAAAAGCGTATATCTCTAAGATCTAATATAATTAAAAAATATCTTTAATTTATGTATACGTGGACTAATTTTATCTATTTATTTAAAATAATATTTTTGGATAAATATTCTATTTAACGAAAATTAAATAATTAAATCTAATATATATTCTACTTTTCTAATAAAATATATAAAAAAGATTTAATTAACTTAATAAATTATAGGAAAGATATTTTTCAAATAGTTTAGAGTATTATATAAATTAGTAGTTAATTTAAATTAATTATTTTAAAATAGGATAAATTATTACTTTAAAATAAATACTCTACTAAATCTTATCTTACTTATTTAAAAAAAAGATTTCTATTAATCTATAGACCTGGTTTTATATTTTAATAAAATAATATAAAGATTTATATTTTTTATAAAATATAGAATTAGTTTTAAAGATATAGAATTTAGGTACTAAATTAGCTTATATATTTATTTAATTTAAATTCTATTAAGTATCTTTAGAATCTATTTAAAAAGAAACTTTTAAAGCTTTATTTAGAGCTTTTTTTAAGCGGTAGATTATAGATTAATTAAATGTAATTTAAAAAAATATTTAAATTACTTAGTAAACTATTTCTCAAAAGTAAATAGATTATTTTATTTATTTTATATTATATAGACTTTAGACTATATATTTAGCATACGGCTAGTATACAAAGTATTGATATATAGAATTTATATAATTAATTTATAGATAAATATTATTTAAATTAGTTAAGAAAATTGAGTTTAAATTTATTATATTTTTTACCAAAATGGCGGGTGTAGTCAGACTTTTGACCTTTAAGTTTATATTTCCTTGCTATTAAGCCCAGCGTCCCAAAAAGCCGAATTCTAGAGTACTGATATGACTAAGGAAATTCAACGGATCTCGTTCAACCTCCGAAGCCTTCGAAGCTTTGCGGTGATATTGCCGGGTATTGCGTCCTGCCCCCTAAGAGGTAAGCCAAATCTAATCTCAAAGCGGTATAGTGTACGCTGTACGGTCGGTCTACTGAGAGCAGGGCTCTGCCAGTGCTTAAACGAATGGTGACCACGTGATATATGGTATTCACTTGAGTTCGACCTCTCTATATGGAAATTTTTGCCAACTTTCGGGTGTTCCATAATGTATTTGACTATGGAACTTGCTCTTCTATACTAAGGTACTAGCCATATCTCGAACTGAACTCATCCAAAATGCCTAATCGTTGCGCTATATATCCTGATTATATGCTTCTAGCTCCCCCTTAATGCTTATATAACCCCGCTACAACTGAAATGACTATTATCATATGGTGCTCAATAAGATTGGGGCAGGAATCAAAATTTCAAACGTATCTCTTTTTATATAAGCATTATGCTCTATACATCAACTAGATAATGTTTAGAACGTGTTCATAAAATTACGAACCCCAGTTGTCCCTTAGGCGGTTGAGAAGGCGCTAAAGATCTTCGAAAGACCATCTGCAATACATTCCTGTGGTACATGTTAGCTGATGAAAAAGTTTTTTATAGCGTAGTCCGAATCAACTCACGGATTGTTCCGATATTGCAAAGTCGAACCTCTCCCAGCCGATTTTCTCCTCCTTACCTAGCCCTCTGATCGCCGCTGCTGAATCCACTGAGCTTTCCCCCTGTACTTGGTGGACTAGCTTTAACAAAGCCACAAGTTCTATCCTAGGGATGAAAAGCATAGATAAGTCGCCAGTCAGTTTTGGCAGCGATGGCAGGATGATACGGTAGCTTTCGCGAAAAGGATTTGCGGTCAGCGTATCTGCTTCGGGCGGGCACTCTGAAAGGACGTCTACAATGTCGATCGATAGCTCGCTCTCGTCCTCTGCGACAACGACCTGCTGATCGGGTTCAGGCCCAGAATCAGTTTCTTCTTTTCTGGATTCGAACCATATGAACCGAGGGACCGTTATTTTTGTGTCATAGCCGGTGCTGCTGCCAGAGCTGGCAGGCAGAGCAAGGCTTCGGAACAACCGTCTGCGGAAGTCGCTGGCGCCTTTACCGCGGATGGCAATATACCAACCACCATGTGGCCCCCAGTTTCCTGAATAATAGCGATGCACAGTCCCCGGAACTTGGGTGCCGTGTCGTTCGACAGGACTCAACGTCAGTAGACAAACTGCGCGCACAAAAGCATCCTCATCGATCCCGGCCTGTTCTGAGCCGCTTTCTGATGCTGTAAAGGGGTAGAATGCATGTGAGCTGCAGACTTTGAACAGCAGCGCGGGTGCGTTCGGCGATTCATTGACTCCAAATTCGGAGAGCCTCTCCGCAACCACGCGCTTGAACATCGCCTCAGAGAGATCTGCGTCTCATGTCAGCCTCAGATTCAGAGAAACTCACCATTACCAGTCATAACCTACATCCGTTCTTTGGGTCGCATAGTCGGCGGAATGACTGTCTGATGTCTTCTATTATGGCGGGTTGATCCGACCGTTTGAAACTAGTAAGTCTCTCGGATAGCTTCTCTGTAAACCTCTGGTAAATGACAACTGGATTGGATTAGGACGAGCTCAGATGATGCCTTACTTTGAACCTCACCTGGGCTCATGAGACCTCGATCCAGGAAGTCTTGAACTCTTTCTTTAGAGGTTCGACGGCGTTCGTCAAGTCCATACTTGTGGAAGCTTTCAGAGCTAATGATGCAGTCTGGTTGTATCTCCATGATTCTGATGTTGATGACCTGGTGTAGAAGCCGTTGATTGTGTTGTCTAGTTAGGGTCATTGGGTATAAGGACTGCCAAAAGGCAGCAGGTTGAAAAGTGGCACAAGAGGTCACGTGACGGGCTGGATATCAAGCTTGCTGATGAGCCTGCTGAAAAGTGTTAACAGAACCGAGTGAGATAAGCACCGTCGTACTGGCAGAGCGAGTAACGTTCTTGAAAGAACGCGTGCCTGAGAGCTACACTGGCAATTATAAGAATGCTGAGTTCTCGCTGTTCTTAGCTGAATCTGCACAACATCAGAGTATACACTACGAGATCTAGATTCTCGTTTCGTTACAAGACTACCTCCCACGCATTTTAAATCAAAGCCTTCCCGAAATGAAGTTCCACGTTCCTCTGCTCCTCCTGGCGAATGCTTTTACATACCTCTTGGCTGAGGCGCCCGGTGCTGGCACGGCCCTTGACGTCCGCTCCCATGCTCGTGACTTCGGAACAAGAGCGAGCAACGCTCTGCCAGACCTTGACTTATCTAAGAGGGCTGCTCCCCCAGTGCCCGCTGGCAAAGACGCGACGAGGCTTCACGTATGGATTCGCACAGATGGCCGTCCGTCTACCTACGATGACCGCAGCGGCGCGAAACATGATGGGCTTAATCAACTGATGAAAGACACTGGCGGTCGCCACAAGGACGTTGTCATCGGCAATAGCAAAGGCTACTATGAGTACGGGCTCCAATTCAACGACCCCAGTTGGCAAAAAAAGCCGAACGGTGATGGTGCCGCTGTGAGCGAGTACGCCGGACCATATGTGGAGGTGAAAGGTGGGCATGAATCGTACGAGTACAAGGGGGAAGTAAGAGACAAGAAGAAAACCCTTAACAGCATTTCTAACACGGGTAAGCAACACCTCCCTTCATGGAAGCATAGTAAGATGGCCTTTAGAGCACTAACAATGTTATATATAGCAAGAACTGAGATCTCTGGCAAGGTTTACAACCACCAGTCGTACAACTGTGGGACCTTTGCACAAGATTTGGTCCATGCGCTTGTGTGACAAAGCTCGATTTGAGAAAGATAATAGTACAGGCATCACCCGGCAAGTTGTTTCACCGACATATCGTAATCAAGTCATAAACTGCGTGCAAAGCTGGATGAACATATTGTTTCCTTGATTCCTTTCTATCTCGTTTGGAAGAACAGGCTCCTTTTGTAGATACATTAGATACCGTTCAATCAACGTATTCCCAATATCCTCAGTTCCTTCTGATTCTGCTAATGTTGAACAACCTGAATTTATCAATCTGGATCGTTTTCTACAATTCCTATTGTTTCTTAGCTGTTTCTGTTGACATAAACCCCTTTTTGTGCAAAGATTGTCAGTGCATGTGCGCAGTTGTTAGGACCTTGTTCAGAATTTTTCAGCTCTTCTGGGCTTGATAAAGACTAGCAATAATGGCATTCACTGCCCGGATGTTTCAGTTTCTGATTCATCACTACCCTATCCAAACTGTTCCATTTTTTAATATCTTGCTTTGTAGTGTATGATGATGACTATGAGTAATAGCCACTTAAATTTTAGTCGATTGAGAAGGGGTTCGGTGGCGCACTGAATTTCCAAACTAGTATATAAGAATAGACTGAGAACCCTCCTACCAGAGTAAGATAGAGTTACATGCACCACTCAGTATATCTACACAATGAATCAGAGACATGAAGCTACTACACTATCACCATCACTTTCACAGGATATAATGCTGCCTCCCCATATAATTTAATGACCGAAATATAACGGGGACGACGCTACTATGGCAGCATTACGATAGTTAGAAGAGTACGAACGAGTTGAGACTGGTCTTGCTACTAGAGGTAACTCTGTAGTAACAATGTAGATTGATCACAAAGAACTAAACTAAGTACATGAATGGGTGTCCTTATGATTCCCTAACCATCTACTCCCATCGTGACTCCTTCATAAGTAGGCAATGGAGTAATACCCAGTCGTAGTGCGTAGTGCCATATACTCCCGGTATTATGTATATTCGATCAGACATCACGTTATGTGACTGGCGTCAGCTTTCCTGACCCTCATAGGTCAAAAGCACGAGTCCTTGGTTTTACTAGTTCAAATTCTGGTTAGAGGCGCACTGTGCTGCAGTGCGGCTTCAGCGTCCAACCATGGAAAGTTCCAATGCGAAAACGCGCCCTGTAACGGCGGTATACTATATAGATGCCCCTAGGGTATCCGGGATCGTTGATCCCGAATTATATGACCTTTTGGCCTTGTGGAATAGGGTGCCCTGGCTTTATCTCTTACACGCCCTCAATTAGCGAGGAAATGAACTGCAGCTGGTCATCGTTTCTAAACCCTTTTGCGAGATCAATATAAATTCTCGCTGAAGACAAAATGCCAGGTCATTTTCCCAACGTGATATTCAATTTGTAGCAGATAGGTACAGCCACGCATGTACGGAATCAACCCCTCATACCATTCATCCTCTAAGTCGCACTAACGCTAGCTTCCTGCGCCCTGGCCATGTACTAACCCGCAGAGAAGCCTTGGAGAATTGGATTGACGAATAGCGGTCCCGACTGGTGCATATAGATAGCTATTCATTCAAGCCATATTCGCGGATCAAGACATCGGCACATGTGGCTCCAGTTATATAAGCAGTGGCCTGGGTGTGATTGTTGGTTAGAACTGGTACCACACTCATATCAGCCACACGTAGTCTTTCCACCCCAAAGACGCGGAAGCGACTGTCGACAGCGGCATCACTGGCACCATCTCTCCCCATCTTCACGGTTCCCGTCATGTGCCAACTGGATGACAGGTTATTTTTCCAGAACTGAAGAATATCCTCATCGGAATGGGATGCCGGTGCCATTATGGTGGAGACCGTATCCTTAGTAAAACATGGGTGCTGGGTCAGGTCCCAAAGATGACGGTAAATCTCAATACATGCTCGCCGGTCAAATGGATGCTCGAGATACTTGGGATTGAACGAAAGTGGCTCATTAGGATCGGACGACTGCAATTGTACCTCTCCAACAGATTGCTCGTTCATCAAGAACACAGGCAGGCAGATGTAGCTGTAATCTTGGAAGAGCTGCGGAAAGGTGAAATGCACGGGGAAATGGCTAATAATCTCGTAGTGCGGAATGGTCTCGCGGTTCATGAAATCTTGTACAGACCCAGGCAAAGCCTTGAACTCTTCACAGGATGTTACTCGGTCGGATTTGAACCAGCCGATCCCTAATTGACAGCCATAACGTGTCCATGGACCGGTCCTGTCTCTTTCCCATTGTTTCATCGCGGCCTCCATGGCTACTTCGTCTTGATAGAAAGAATTGCGGTCGTTGCTTTCGGGGTTGCGCATCACAATAAGTGGGGCAAAGATGTGGTCACGGAGACCTTGGCCTACGGCTGGTAGATCGTGAATGACTGAAATGTTAAACTTGCGTAGTTCGTCGGCAGGACCGATGCCAGAATGCATCAGAATCTTGGGGGTTTCAAGCGATCCTGCTGAGAGGATGACCTCGTTCGAAGCAGAATCTGCAAGCATGCATGAGTTCTTCCAGCAACCAGAGTAACCAAACCCTTTGAGAGAACCCACATTGTGTGCCATTAGCTTCGGCTCCCACAGCCTTATTCTTGTCCAATACAATGCGTTGAACTGGACTATCGCAGAGAATGACCAAATTATCCGAGACATCAGTCAACAGATCAGCAGCGGTTGATCGCATGCCCTTCGAAGCGGAATTGATACAAAGTCCGAACCCAAGGGGATTACCAGAGTTGTGATCAAGATTCCGCTGGACCCCGGCTGCTTCGAATGCATCCAGCACTGTTGTCAAATCTGAATCCCAGTCTTTGGCGTAGCCAACGTGCAGGCCACCTTTATTGCCATGGCATGCGGGTTCCGACTGACTGTACTTCTGGTTTTCTGGGACATCAATTGTGCCAGTAAATGTTTCCAGTCTTTTGAACCGCGCCTGCATTTGGTCCCAGGCAAAAGTCTCGTCATCGACCTTGGCGGCCCATAGATCATAGTCGTCTCGTGCCCCGACAGTGTAGACTCCAAAATTGATCGCAGAGCCGCCCCCGAGCCCCTTACCGCGCGAGTAATCGAGTTGACGGCCGTTGCAGTGCTCCTGCGGGCTTGTATGGGACCCCCAATTCATATTCTCTTTCATGAAAGTCTTCCAGCGCTTTCCATCGACCCGCAGAGATTTGTCCTCATTCCGCCCGCCGGCTTCTAGAAGCAATACGCTTGGCTTCTTGGCGGAGCTTGCCAGAGACGCAGCCAGTGTACATCCAGCCGGGCCGCCTATGAATTAGATAAGTGGCTGACTGATAGCAATAACGAGGAGCAAAAATTTACCACCGACGACAATGAAATCGTAGGATCGCTCCTGGGTCATATTGGGCCAGCAAACCTTCGGCTATAAAAGCTACACAGTTCACTTTCCAACGAATGCGGTGATCAGAGATGAGATTTCTTTTGTCTAAGTGGGCATAGGCCGGGAATATTGACAGGCAATTGAAAGCCAGATTCCTCCACTCTTAAAGTCTAGTCACTCAAGAAATAGCCTTTGCCGTGAGCTAAGAGTGGTGCCGACAGGATCTCGGGAATGATCAGTTGGGACAGCGTAGTATTGATAACGGGTGGCAAAGGCTTGCAAATCCGTATGATCAAAAATTGAAAAGAAAGTTGTAAACGCCCTCGGCTGTGCGTTGACTTCATTAAACACTTGTTGCTAAAGCATCACATAATTCATAGATCGTCCGCACATATCCAAAAAAGTTGTCTTATGTACCGATTCCCGTCTCCGCTAATGCAACATCCAATTGGGATGACCACCTTATGGCCACACACTGCAGCGGTCCAGATCATTGGTGGACTATAACCCAAATAAGTAATAGTTTGCCTTTCTTCATGACGTCTGAGGGAATCTTTTGCACGAAGTAAATTCGAAATTTACCTTTTTTCGACCAATGGACCGTACGTTTCGAGGTGTGAGATGCCTTTTCCGGTCGTATTAGCTATGCAAGTTTATCTTGAATCGGGAGCTATTTCCCTATATAGTTCTGAGGGAGGATTGCCAAGAAATATCAGCAGCCTAATGCATAAAAGCATTATTGGTGACCGAGGATTCGGAGGTCAGTCGATCAAGTCAATATTAGAGTGATGAATCATGATCGGGCCCAGAACTGGTTTGCGGGATGACTGATACAAAACCAATCCTTGCAGAGCAGCCCGGTGATCGGGTCACAGTTGAACGGGGTCTAAAAAAATCTCGGCGGTACTTAAAGTTCTACCACCGCCCCTACTATTATCTTCAAACTCTATTTAAATTTTTCTATATAAAGGCGTAATAGAGATTAAACTTATACCTCTAAATTCTATTTAATAGATATAAAGTCTTAATATATACAAATAAACTATATTAATTTTATATATTATATATATTATATAGTAAATTTTTCTATAATTTCTTTTCTTTCTAAATCTTTTATAAATATATGCATATTATCTCAAACTTTAATTATTCAAAATTAATTATTAATTTAATATATATATATTATAATATTTATATATATTAAGTATTTTTTTTTAATATATAATATATTAATTTTACTAATTAGGAGAGAGATAATATAAAGAATTTATTAATCTATAAATAGTACTATAATATATTCTAGTTTTATTTTAATATATTATAAGTATATATTAAATAACGTAGCCGGTAAGCGGTCCAGTTATGTAAGCACTCCGGTCACCCCACGCGTTTTTTCGCGTCTTCTAGAATTGAAGCTATTCAATTACTAGTTATTCAACTAAAAATGTTTAAAAGTTCTAAAGATTAAGTAAAGTAGGAAGGTAGAATACTATTAGCTATTTCAACTTTAAATAAATAAAAAATAACTAATATTCGAAAAGCTGTATTTATTTTTAATATATTTTATTCTACTTTTCAAGAACGATTAAATAGTTATATTTTTTAAACTGAACTACGCGTTAAAAGCTATAAATTAACTTAAAATAAAGAGGATTTCTTAGTACAATGGATTCTATTGCTAGATTAATGTAGAGCAGCTTTTTAATATATATATATACGAGAAATAGCTAATATTCTATTTGCTAAGTGTGGTAATCCTATATTTATTATTATAGATTAGTGTGATCGTGACTACAACGCACCGCTAAGGAGGAATGCTATGACTTGTAAAGGGGCCCCGTAGCTCTACTAGAGAGCTACCTTATTAAATCCCTTAATATATATATAAAGACCGTAGCTATCCCCTAGATTTATAGAAGATCGATAACTCTCTACCTTTTATAGTATACCACTATTTATAATCTTATTTAGTACTATATTTAAATCTAGAGATAAAGTCCTAACTCTACCTAGTATAGTTCCACGATACTTAATTAGATTCTATAATTATAATAAAATATAATAAATTTTAATAAAGAGCTAAGCGGTATCGCTAGTCGAGCTATCTATAAAAAATAGTATATAATTTAAAAAAAGAGATCCCGTTAATTAAATAATTTAATATTAAAAATTATTATAAATTTACTACTATTTAAAGTATTATTAAAATAGATAGATAATAGATATTTAAATAATTTTAAAATTAATAGTAAACTGCGTAGTAGTCTATTTTCGATTAACTTATCAAGTAAGTAAAAGAAATAATTGATAATAAGGAAACCCTTATTATTTTTAAAATATTGATTATATTAATAAAAAGGCGAATATAAATAGTAAAATAATATATCTAGTTAATAGAGACTATAATATAATAAGTAATAGATTTTACTACCGAGTAAATTATAAAAAAAATAATTTAATGTATTATTAAAAAAGCTATATAATAAATAATTAATTAAATTACTTTATCTACTATTTTATAAAACTTTTTATTAATAGACATTTCTAGTAGCTATATTTTAATAACTGGGATATCTATAATCGAAGAAATCTTGCTATAGAAAAATAACTATCTTTATTAAAAGGTTTCTAATTTTAAGTAAATCCTAAAGTACAACGACTATTTTAAAAATAAGATAATAAATAAATAACTGCGACGGGTCGATTAATATTTTAAAAATAAATAGATCCTTACGTAGAAGGAAGCCTTTAAATTTGAAAAAATAATTATTATTAAATAGAAATTTACTAGAGTAGTTTAAAAATACTAAAAAATAAAAAAATAATATATTTTAATAGAAAATAATAGCTCTATCACTACTTTCGAAAAATTGAAAAAATAGATCTATAATAACTTTAACGAATATCGCAATAAAATAAAATAATCTCTAGTTAAATCTACTATTTTAATAAAAGTAATAATAAATTACTAAAGATTAATAATTATTGAATAGATTTAATAGATTTTTTTTTATAAAAAAAAGTTAAAATTAAAACTTAGCAAGATACTATAGAGATAACTTAAAAAATTAAGATAAAGAATAAGAAAATAGTTTAAAATATTATAATTATAATAAATTAAGATATTTTATAAAAAACTACAAGTTGAAGTAGAAAAAAAACATATTAAAGAAAGATCGAGATTACTAAATAAAAAGATATTAATTAATTAAATAAGAAAAATCTCTTTTAATAATATAAATTAATTTTAAAACTTCCAATTTATTAAATAGTAAAAAAATTAAAGAAATAGCTTTTTAAAAAATACTATTTAAATATAATAAATATTTATATATTTTAAAAAGTTTTATATTTTATTATTAAAAAGTAATTAAATATAGTATAGCAAGGTATATAATATATATTTTAATAAATTTAGAAGCTAATTATACCTTTGTTATATAAGAATTAGTAGAGAAAGATCTTTAGTTATAAAAATAAATTAAGATACCGCTAAAAATAAAACTTTTAAATAGAAATTATTTAAAAATTTATAATATTTATAATCTATCTCTATAACTAAAAGAATAATTAAAAAAAATTAATATTTAAATTATTAAATTTAATAAATATAATCTAATTTTTAATCGCGATTGATTATAAAATATTAATTTTTATATTAATTAATAAATTTCTGAGATAATACTATAAGATAATAGAGATAAATCTTATTAAATTTAATTTATAAATCTAAGATACTATATATAAATTTAAAAAATATTTTTAAATTTTATCTTTACATAGACAGCTATTAAAGCTATTTAAAAAAAAATAAAATATAATTTTTCTTTATTAAAGCTATAGATAAAATTAATACTAAGATAAAAAATTAAATTAATAATTTTTAAATATAGCAATATATTTAAAAAGAAGTTATTTATAAAACTTTTACTAAAAAAAAGATTAATTTATAAAATTAATATAAATAATATATTATTAATAAATATTAATATCTATCTTTTATTATTAGAAAAGCTCGTGGAATTTAAAATATAAATTAAAATAATAATTAAAACTAAATTAATATAACTATCTACTTTTATATAAAGATTTTTTATAATTTTTATAAAAAAGTCTAATAGAAAATAATAAATATATATTAACTATTACGCGTTAAATAAAGTAATAGTAAAAAATAGTTATCTATTATCTAAAATTTAAAAACTTATTAATATAATAGAATAGATTATATATCTTTTTAAAATCGATTTTCTATTAAAATATTAGTAAATTAAAATTAATACACTATCGATATTAAAAATAGTATTTAATATTATTTTTAAAAAATTTAAATAGTTTACTATATTCTTCAAATTGTATAATATATTAATAATCTTTTAAATAATAATAAATCAAATTTTAATACTTTATATAGAAGTATTCGATATTATATATTTAAATAATATTTTTATTTTCTTGAATTCGCGAGAGAAGTATAAGAAATATTTATAAATTATTTTAAATATCCTATTAAAAAAAGAGCTATATATTTAGATAAGATATATACTTTTCTAGAAAAAGCTAGAATTCTATAGTTATATTATAGAAAAAAAAGAAATATATTTTATATTAGTAAAGCTAGATATTATTAAAAAATAGCTATAATTACAAAATATATATAAAATATACTAATTTTTAGAATTTGTAATATACTATTAATATTTTATATAATTATTTATAAAGATCGCAGCACTACTATATAAGCTTTTAAGAAAAAAAAATATAGTATTATATATAAATAAATATTAATTAATTATTTAATTAGTATCCTATAAGCTTATTTTTAAAAAACTTAAAAAAACTAGACTGGCATTTGGCCAGGTTAGGTTAGGTTAATAGGGTCAGTTATACCTAACCGCTAGGTTATAGTTAGGTTAATAGAATTTCTATATCTAACCACAGTTAAGTTAAAAATTAGATAGTTAACCTAGGTTAACTGTACTTGGTACTAAGACTATTAATTTTTATTAAATATAGTAGAT